CGAGCATACACCTGCAACTTCGTAAAAATGGACCTGTTTCAGAAAGCCATGTAGATGTTCCATATAACAATAAAGAGCAAAATTCTGTTTTTTGGTTTTTTTTCCTATCCTCACCCGAGGACATTTTTGCATTTATCTTCAGATAGAGTGGGAGGGAGAGAGGGAGGAAGAGAGAAACATCGATGTGAGAGAGACACATCGGGTGGTTGCCACCCACACGACTCCAATAGAAGCGGGGGACGAACCACAACCGAGGTACATGCCCTTAGCGGGAACCGAACCTGGGACTCTCCGGGTCTGTGGGCCGACGCTCTAATCCCTGAGCCAAACTGGCCAGGGCCAAAAGAGCAAAATTCTTTTTAAAAAAGGAACCCTGGGCCTAGAATGCTCTTGCCCCATAAGCCCCTATAGCTCACTCCTTCACCTCCTTTTACTCAAAAGCCATCTTCTCAGTTGAGTTCTTCCCTGAGGACCTCATTTACATTGCATCCCCACATTCCGTTATTCCCCTTTCCCACTTAATTTTTCTCCACAGCACTTACCTTTAAATATAATATTTTTTTACTTTCTAAAGAAATTGTGTATCTCCTTCCACTAGAGAGTGAGTTCCATGAGACTAGGCATTTTTATGTCATGTTTGTGCTGTGTCCCCAGCACCTAGAATGGTACCTGGCATACAGAAAGCACTCAACAAATATTTGTGGGGAAAAAATGAGTGCTTATATCTCTAAGAACTCTATGTTACTTTTCTTTTTTCTTTTTTTCTGTAAAAGTTAATGATTTGTGAGAATTTAATAAACATTAAAGAGTTATAATTAGCTTTATGGTTATCGTTCTGTTAACATTTCCAAGGTTAACCTTAAACAGTAGCAGAAAGCTGTAGGAACCCAAGGATTCTGATGAAGCTTCCAGTCCTAAACAAGAAGTATCTTCCAATTACTTTTTAGGGGACCCGGGTCATACCCAAACTCAGGGGGTCACCTCAGAATCAAAGTGCTGCCCATGAAATTCTTTCTTACCTACTGTACAGCAATCAGGCCCCCATCCGCAATCAAACCAATAATACTAATACTTTTTATTTCTGGCAGTGTGGTAAAATGGAAAACACAGAGGTTTTAAGATCAGCTGGACTACCACTTGCTAGCTGTGTGACTGTTGGTAAGTTAAAGCTTTCTGAATAGGTAAAATGGGTTTTTATGAGGATAAAATGGGATAGTTCTTCACACAGTGTACAACACACAGCAGGTGCTGTATAAATGGTCATTCCCCCCCTCTTCCATCTCTCTAGGTCATTTTTTAACTGCTTGTTGAGGTTCATGGGATCCTGATGGCTAAAACGAGCCTGTCCAGTCCTCTCCTGCACGTAAATCCTCTGCAACTAGACCTAATCAAAGCGGTCCCCTTGTACTGTACCACTGTAAACTGGTGCCTTCACTGCTACCTCAAATGTGTGGCTGAGACAGACATCTGGACCTTGACCATGAAGCCTACCATCTATCACAGTTTTTTCTCTTGGCTTTCCCTTTTGCCCACACTGGGAGAGCTTGTATATGTCCTCATAGAGGGTAAGACACAAATCACTGTCCCCCAGTTTTTTAGTGTTAAGAGCTTTCATAGGACACATTCACCCTTCCAAAATGTAGGCACAAGGGAAAGTGCTAATGTGCACTGTGCACTTTGAGCCAGTCCCTGCTTTATATATATGGCATGTTATATGTACATATATACCTATATATGTGTACACATGGCCTTAGGAACCCTGCCACCACTCAATTCTACAGAAGAGGGAAAAGAGAACCAGAGAGATGAATTCACTTGCCCACATCAAGCAGCTTCTGAACTGAAGGGTCAGGATTAGAACCCAAGTATTTAAACATCTTGTTACATGCTCACAGCCTGCCAGTCTCCAGGCACTGAGCTTGGTCTTGGGGCATCTGACCACTGAGGGCTAGAGACAGGTCTAAGTAGGAGGTGATATCCAGCCTCTCAATCTTGCCAGACAAGCACACCACCCCAGACTTTGTGAATGAAGGTCAAGGAAAGAAAATGTTGAACTGACTCCCTTGAGCTCCTATTTCTTCCTTGTTGCAAAAGTGTTTATTTCAGCATCCTCATCTACCCTTTTGTTGTGTAGACAATCAATCCTGTCAGAAGATATGTGCTGTTATGAGTTTACTATTAAGTTTATTTCTCCTATAAAAAATGTGTTCACAACATTCCATCAGGAAATCTTCTTAATTGTGACATTAATGTCACCTTATGTAAACTGAGTATTTATCTTCCCGTGGAAGGGGACAGAGGGGGAAAAAAGAAAAAACAACCTTCAGTCTTGGAGAGGGAAGGTGGTTCCTGGCCCATTCATAACTCACCGATGTACCTTCAAAGCCAAAGGTGAGCTGAAAAAAATTACTAGATCATCTTTGATGGGCAGCCAAAAGGTAGGGGAAAGAAAAAGTTGGCCATGATGCTTTGGGGATGTTGGGCCAGGCGCTCAGGTCTCCCTCCCCAAACCCCGCCTGAGACCAGACCACCTCCTGCCCAGCTAGGGGCGTCCGGAGAAGGCTGCAGCTTGCCTCTCACTCCTCCCCATCCAGGAGGCCAGCCATGCTCCTTCCTCGAGAGAAGGTGAGCGCGGCGGGCACAACGGGTTGAGTGGGTGTGGCCCGCGGCTCCGGGAACTGACCCAAGGCCCCGCCACCGCTCGCGAGCCGCCCCACAGTCCGCCTGCCTGGCGCAAGCTCTTCTTCCAGAAACTGCGAGGATCCGAGCGCACTGTTTGTGCACTACAAGGTCAAGTCGGGAAGTGGAGCCGGAGGAGGAGGAGGGGCGAGGAGGCGAAGGGTGGGGAGAGGGGCGCCCCGCTTCCTCGCCAAGTGCCAGCCCTTGGAAGTTGCCCCTAGGTTTTTAACCCTTTATGGGGAGTGGGAAGGACAAGCAAGGGGAAGGGGATACCCCGGGGCAAACTCCTCTGGGACCAGGATGTGCAGCCACCCACCCGTCCACCCATCACTAGGTTCCCCACCCCCCGGAAATGCAGGGCAGAGCTGGGTGCCTGGAGGTATCCCGGAGGGAGGAGGGGGCGATGAACCCGAAAGAGACCCTCTATGGAACGCCCTTTCTTTCTGTAGGTCGCCCACAATTTCAAGTTTCCCCCGCCCGGCTTGTTAGTTTCCATCTGCTGTGGGTGGGGGAGGAGGGCCGCGCCCCCTCCCCCAGACTTGCGCGCGCCCCTCCCCTCCGCTTCTGCCAGCACTTTCTGCTCACTTCTGGCGCTGTAAAACGCCACGCGATTTATTTGATTCGCATTTTGAACCAGCGATTCAGGAGCAGGGCCTAGGGTGAGGGTCTCCCAGCGCTGGAGCCCGGGGAAGCGGGGTGCTCATTGCAAACCTCGTTCCTTCCGCGAGTGTCGCCTTCAGGCTATTTGCAAAGAAACGTCTTTTTGACGCAGGGAGAAATGGCAAATTTTAAGTACGTCATTAATATGGCGCCAAAAGATTTTTTTAAGTATAAGCTTGCTTTTTTTTTTTTTTTAAGGTTGCGGGGGGCACCGCCCGGGTCTGGGGCAAGAAGGGGGCGGGGTGTGAGCAGAAAGTGTGAGTGAGAGAGTGGAGGGGCGGGGTATGTGGGTGAGTGTGTGAAGTGTGAGCAGACCTGATGGGACTTGCACGGGCGCAGCCGCCGCTCGGGCCCGGCCCTGGGGACAGGGCGGGCTGGGGGCGCCCCAGAGCCTGTGGGGAGTCCGGGCTCGAGGTGCAAGCAGGCGGCAGCCCGGCAGTGTACCCTCCCTCCCGAGGCCTGCAACGCTACCTGGACCCGCTGCTTAAGCCAAACAACTGGGCGCAGGGAGGGGGAACGGGCAACGGGGGATGTCAGGAGTGGAGATCCGACTGTATAAGAAAAAAGTGGCTACTCCCCCTCCCTTGCTCCTCCCGCCCGCCCCCACCCCACCCCACCCCACCCCCACCCCAACACATTTTTTTTTTTTTCTAAAGAGATCACAAGGAAGTCTTGGTTTAAAAAGAAACAGAAACATACACAGGGGGGTTGGTGAATGGTCCCGGCCGCGGCCATCGCAGTTGGAGCCTATGGGGGGGCGGGTGAGTAGTGTCCATGGAGTTACTTTGCGCCCACTCCTAGGAGGCAAGGGCTTGGGTCTCTTGGGCTGAACCGTCCCCGGCAGGGGTGCGGGGCCGGGGACGCCGCGGGCCCCATCGCCTCCCTCGCCGCGACCCCGGATGGATGCGCGCCCCCCGCCTGCCCGCGCCGGCCCCAGGAGCTCCGGATTTCGGGAGCATCCTTCCCGCGCCAGCCCCCACCGCGGCGCGTAGCCGAGGGCAGCGCCCCTCGGAAGGGCACCACGGAGTAAGGTAAGATCCAGCCCCCGGCGATGGGCCCTGCGCATCTCCACAGCGTTATTTTGTGTTTTTGCAACAGATCTGCCAGCGCTCCTCGCTCTCTCTCTCTCTAGCTCGCTCGCTCCCTCTCTCTCCTGCTGGCTGCCTGTTCTAGGAAGCCAGCGCGCGGGGGGAGGGGGGATGCACAGCACAGGGGAGAGAGATTGCGCATGTTGGTCAGTCGTGTTTTAAAGAGTACATTGCGGGGAGGCTGAGAGGGGCGCATGCAACAACAACTTTTGAAAGGGTGAGTTTGACGACCTTCTTTATTAATGACTGCGGCAAAGCGCCCCCGGACCGGCAAGGGGGCGCGGGCGGGCGGGGGCGCGCCGGGGCTGCAACTTGCCCCGCGGTTCCAGCGGGAGAAGGGGCTGCGGCGGGAGACCTATGCCGAGGGGAGGTCGCGCGGCCGGGGACGAGGGTTCAGAGGACCCAGAGTTAACTGCCCTCCTGTCGCCCCGAGTTTCATTTTGTTGATACGCAGCACGTCCGGGCGACGAACCGGGCTGAGCCGGTGCACATGACCCCGCGCTGGGCTCACGTGCAGCCGGCTGGGTCCCAGACACCTTCCGGGGGCCACCGCCTCCGCCCTGTAGCCCCCTCTCTGGGCTGGGTGCACGCGGGTGCTGCACGCGGGGGCAGCATGCTGAGCTCCCGGGCGCCGAGGCTCTGCACAAATTAAACAGTTTTTTGGAGGGGTGGGGGACGCCCTTTCCAGGTGAGTATAGAGGGTGCGCAGCCCCAGCGCGGGGGTTTCGGGCTGGGTCGGGAGCAGCTCCCCCCTCCAGGGCTACGCGGGAGTCCGGCGGGGAAGAAGCGCTGAGAGAGTGGAAATGTACCCGCGGCAGCCGGAGCAGAGGGTGCGCGCCCGCGGGGCGACGGCAGGGGGCGTGGCCCTTGTTTACCTTCTCCCAACTCTGCCGGTTCGCGTCCCGCTCCGGGGACAGTTCTGCAGTCCCCGGTTGTCCGCCTCCGCCCCTGCGACCTGGGTGGTACCGGGAAGATGTAGGCAAGTGGCGGCCCCAGTCTAGACTTACACACTCGACCCCCAAATGAGTGACACTGCAGCCCCCGCCCCCACCAAGCACCGCTGCAGTCCCTCTCCCGGTTCCCCGGCCTGGCCCGGCCCCGCCCCCGGCAGTGGCATCTTCCCGGCCTCACCTCCTTCCTCTCTTCCCTCTTCCTCTCTCCCTTTCTCCCTCCCTCCTTCCCACCCACTCGCCTGCGCCTGCGGAGCGGCTCCCGCCCGCCTCCTCCCCGCCTGTGTGCAGACTTGTGGCTCCCTCTGGTCCCTTCCCGCCTATCCCTGGGCCTTGAGACACCCTCTTCTCCAGGCCAAGGAATGAGAGGGGGGTCGGCTTGGCGATTGGTAGCTGTTTTGTCAAGATGGGGATGTCTGCAAGACAGGCAGCAAGGCTTCACTGTACCTTCCAGTGGCCCAGGACACCCCCCCCCACACACACACCCAGTTCCTCACCATATATACAACTGCCCACTCCCCAAGGAGCGTGGGGGCTTTACCCGCTTCACCCAATCCCTTCCTCCAGCCGAGGTGTCCAGTCCACCTTCCGTCGCCGCCCCCGGCCTGAACCATCTCTAGCCCTTCCTTCGCCTGGGCCAGAGCCCCCCGCTGCCACCTCCGGCTCCTCCTCCCGGCTCCCGCGGTAGGAATCACGCCGGCGCGCCTCCAGCCTGCGGTCCCGCGGACTGCCTCCAGGGGCAGACTGGAGGCGCGTGCCATCTCTCCCTCCTCCCCACCCCCCACAACCTCCTAGCCTCTGCCACCCGCCGGGGCACTTGACTTTTTTTTTTTCACCATCTTAGCCACCGCAAGTCTCACGCCCAGGGCTGATGGGGGGTGGGAAAGGCCATATTCTCCTTTGCCCATTGCCAAGGGCACGCTGCAGCCAGTCACTCTGGTCTCTGCAGATTTCTAAACCTTGCCCCTGCACTTAGCACACACCCCACCCTGCTCATCTGCAGGATTCTGGAACAAAGTTTCACCCAGAGGCTGAGTTTGCAGGGGGTCACCAGGGGATGTCATGTTTGCACTCAGTATTGCCAAAGGGGATGGGGAGGGGCTGAGTGAGTGGGCATGCCTGACCTGCCATCTTACCTTTGTTGTTAGGAGAGGAGCCCTAAGCTTTGAGCCTAGGCAAGCTGTCAGTAGGTCTCCTTAAGGCTTCTGTTTGCAAACAGTCCTGGGCCCTGGTGGTGGTAGGGCCACCTGGCCCCTCCTCCCAGGGTGGCATTAACTCCCTTCACTGGTAAAATTCCCAGTAGGACATTTGGCAAAAGGGCCGGCCAGGGAGCTGCCAAACAGGCCTGGCCCTGTTTCCTGGGTTCCCAGGGTGCTGGCTTCTCCCCTACCCTGACTTCCTCACTCACCTTAGGGCCCCAAGTGAAGCATTTCTTCTGTCCCATCTTCCTGGGGCAGGTCGAGACTGGTAGAGCCATCTAACAAGCAGAGGAGGAAAATAACAACAGAATAACTGTAAGGGGAAGGAATGAGTAATAAAGCCGACCCAGGCAGGGGGGGAGGGCTTTCATGTTTAAGAGTTGCTATTTGCTTTTTAGGTCACAGGCTGCAAAAACAGGCTTTGATCCAAAGTGGGCGAATAATTTATTGAGAAAGTTTGCATGGTAGAAAAAAAGGGATGTTTGTTTGATCTGGAGCCCTCTCAGTTGTCCCAAGTGCTGTTGGCTGTTGTTTAGAGTGGAAAAGCATTTGGTTCCACAGCAAATGCCTCGCAGAGGGAAGTCTTCGCCCCAGGCAGTAGGACTTGCAGTGAATGTTGGATTTGAAACTGCTTGGCCAAGGGTCTCCCCAGCACTTTTGAAGATGAAGTGTTTAAGGATAAAGTTGTTTGGGCTTGAGATGCAGCAAATATTTCCAGAACATTTCCCATCCAACATGCTTTTCCTTTCCCTAAGTTGCCTGGCCAAACAGCCAGTAACACTGATCTAAGATGCTGTCATGCATCTCCACTTAGCTTTCATTGACAGGTGAAGTGGACTGCTGGTCCCCAGCCCTAGATGTATCCCAGAGTCGAGGTTAGGCCTTAGATAATAACTTCCGCATCCTTGAAGTTGGGGCAGGGTGTCCTGGTTAACTGGTGGTCCTGTTAACAGGGAGTTAGTCTTATACTTAAGACCCAGGTCAAAGGCTTCCAGTCCAAATTCTTCACAGTTCATCCAGCAGGCTCTCTGTGGGCCTGGCAATTCTTTTTGGTTCTGCAAGAGAAGGCCAAGTCAGAGTTGTGAGGAGGGGAGTACCCCTGGCTTTCCCTGCCCTCCATCTAGGACCCTTACCATGTGGCTCAGAGCTTAGAAACCTAGGAAGATTCTCAGACAACCCATAGGAATCTGGACTACCCTGGCCACATTCAGGAGTTGTAGGCGTTGTGTACTGTAGTCGGTGGAATGGGGTACACCATCTGGAATCAGATAGCTTAGATTTGAATGATGGCTATGCAGTCACCAGTTATGACAATTATTCTGTGACTCAGTTTCTTCATCTATAAATAGGGTTAATAACAGTACTTACCTCATGGTGGGTGCATGGATTAAGCAATATTGCATAAAGAAGACTAAACCCAAAGCCAGGCATGTGGTAAGCACTTGATTAGTATTAGTCATTCTTCTTACTATTATTAATGATCTGGACAGGGTCCAAATGCAGCTTTGACCTTTGATCTCTCCCCTTTAGGATAGGCTGAAGAGCCAACTCCCTTCTCTGAAGAAGGGATCAGAAGGACCCTGCAGTTGCCAATGGGCAGCCGTCTGTGGGAGCAAGTGGACTGAGCTTTGCCCTCTCTGAGGTGGAGAGTAGGGTGAGAGGTGCTGAAGGACAAAGTAGACAAAGCCCCTTTCATTCTCCCAGGATCCCCTTGGTATGTCCCCAGAACTGGGTCTGGAAGGTGGGTGTGGGCAGCATGCTCTAGGGGAGCTGGGAATACTCTGGGATACTCAGAATTGCAGATGGGCAGTGATGGGTGTTGAAGGGAGAGTTCAGGCTTCCCCGTGCTTGGAGAAACAAGTTTGAGGATCTGTGTGCACAAAATCATTTTTGTAACGGCAATTACTACCCCTGAGAAGGCATTAAAGTTAATGAGAGATAGGAAAGAGTGGGGCTCTGACCCCCGTTTAGAGCCATTTAAGAATATGCAGTTCTTGTTTTTCGAATGTCTGGCCTTCCCGACACAAGGAGGCTCTGAGGACAGGTTTTCCAGCCGAAATATCATTAAATTGTATTAGCATCTTATTACACACACGCCTTAGTGGTCTGCCTCAGACAGGGAGAGTTTTTGTTTCTCTTTGAAAGATTGTGTCTGGAATGGTAAATTGCCTGCTTGAAAGCCTCCCCCACTCCCCTTTTTTCAAGGAGGAAGACGGAGTCCTGCTGTGTGTGGTGGCGGTCAGGGCAGGCCTGGTGGCCCCCAGAGAGGAGAGGCTGGAGGCCAGGTTGGGGTGTTTTAACTGCCCAGGGAGCGGCTGCAGTAGCAGCCCTGAAAGGCCCACTGTTCCCAGGGTCAGCTGGAAGGGCGTTAATGGAGGCCCAGGGTGTTTATTTGAGTTTATTTGCAGAAAGGTCTTTAAAGGGGCTGGCACTGGGCATTGGTGTTTCAAGTCCAGACCCAAGGCCCCCACTAAGACCAGTGACTACAGTGACTGGTGCTGCCAAGAAAACATCTGCCACCAAATTGCTGCCCTATTACTGAGTTGATATTGATCATTAGCCAGGAGCCCAACCAAATAAAGAGTCCTGGAAAATGTGTGAGGTTAAGACGGGGAAGAGGGCTGTGAAAACAGGACAAAATCTTGGGCTGGGGTGTTTGTTCTTGCAAGCTGCAGGCAGGCCAGCTGGGCTGTGTGGTACCCACATTTCTGGAGGGGGGGACAAGAATACACTAGCATGCTGCATGCATCGAGCCCCTGTTATGTGCTGGGCTACGCGAGGAGGGCATTGGGGCTCCAGCATGATTCAGACAGGCTTACTCTCATGCAACGTATATTCTGGAGGAGAAGGATGTTCAACCAGTAGATTAGCAAACACAAATTATGTTGGGTGCTCTGAAGATGCTGAATAACAGGGTGGTGAGCTTTCTTTAGATAAGGCACCCTGAACAGATCTCTATGACATTTAAGCTGAACCCTGAAAAATGAAGTCAGACACGCATAGACCATTATAGGCAGAGGGCACAGGCTGTGTACAGGTCTCAAAGCATGGACTGTTAGGCTTATGTCAGGAATAAAAGAAGGCAGGTGTGGCTAGAAAATGGTGGGGTAGGGCTAGTGGTCGATACAAACTTGTTGAGGTAGGCAGGGGCAAGATCACATGGGGTCTTGTAGTCAGGAGCTTGAGTTTTATCCTTTGGTCAGTAGGAAGCCTTTAAAAGATTTTAAAGGGGCATGACATGATCGAATTTATACTTTTTATTTATTTTTTAAAAATATATCGTTACTGATTTGAGAGGGGGGGGAGAGAGAAATATCGATGTGAGAAACATCAATTGACTGCCTCCCATATGTATCCCAACTGGGGATGGAAACTGCAACTTGGGTATGTGCCCTGACAGGGAATCGAATTGGTGACCTTTCGGTGCATGGAACGATGCCCAACCAACTGAATCGCACCAGCCAGGGCCTGATTTATACTTTTAATTTCATTATTATTATTTTTTTAATCCTCACCTGAGAGTATTTTTCCACTTATCTTCGGATAGAGTAGACGGATAGAGAGAGAAACATCAATGTGAGAGGGACACGTCGACTAGTTGCCTCCCGAACAACCCTGACCAGGGCCAGGGGCGAACTGCAACTGAGGTACGTGCCCTTGACCAGAATCAAACCCACGGTTCATTGGTCTGCAGGCCAGTGCTCTACCACTGAGCCAAACCAGCCAGGGCTGATTTATACTTTTTAAAAATCATCCTGTCTGCTGTGTGGATCCTGGATTTTGAGGGCACTATAGTAGAAGCTGGGAGATAAATGAGGAGTTCAGGCAATTGATGAGATGGCTTGGACCCATTTGGTAGCAATAGAAATGGGGGAAAGTTATGTTCTGGAGGGAGAATCCATTGGACTTGCCAAGGGTTGGCTGTTAGGTAGAGGTCACGCAGAGGGGCTGTGGCTGCTGCTCCATTGAGGTGACACTATGACATCCACGCTCTCAAAGGACAGCTTCCTATCTGTGTCTCCATGCTGGAGACAGTGTGGGAGGTGCAAATGGAAGGAAAAGGGACCCTTTCATTCCTAGAGTCTCCTTTGTAGGTAGGGTTTTAGGAGCACTCTCTGTCCCCAAAAGAAAGTGACTTGTATCGTGAGGATTCTCCCAGAGCAGACCTTGCTTTGGGACACATTGGAGGGGCCAGTGGAGAGGGAAAACTCAGGGGCCAAGGTCAGATCTCAGCACCCCCATCTGTATTTGCAGTCTTGGACTTCAGCTTTGGTGAGGGAGTCCTCCCTGTCGCCCTTGCTGGGGTGGAGACAGGGGTTCATGGGGCAAAGGGCTGTCCCATAGGGGAGCCCGGGCCTCATCTGGGGCTGCCTTAGTACTGACATTGGAGGTTCACCTGAGGCAGGGAGGCCTTTAGAATAGACTTGGTTGAAAGGAAAGAAGTTTCACCCACAGTGACTTTCCTCTGAAGCCTAGTTATTATTTCAATTAAGTCACCACAAAATCTGCTTCCTTAATAACACCCTGCCCAGGAGGACTCGGGGTGTTTCACAGAGGGCAGGTTGGATAGGGAACTGACTGAGGGTGGGGTGCAGGTCTGCATACTGGCGTGTCCTGGGCAGCAGGGAACAGCATTATATTCTAGAAGGGAGGTGGCAGTCAGAAGTCCTGTTACAGAAGATCTTCCTTACCCTGCAGGTGAGCGCTCCCTCTGAGGAGCCCCTCAGGTGGGCACTGGTGGGAGGTTTCTCCACCTGGCCCAAGGCTGCCATGCTGTTAATAACTAGCACCTATGTGGAGAGCCAGCCACTGTGCCAAGGCCTTTATGCTGTTCTCATGTATTCTCACCAGCTGATTCTGGCCCACAGATGTGTTTAGTTTGGCCTTCTCAGAGTGTTTTTAAAATTCCGAATCAGTTGCCAACATTTTCAGTCAGGAGATTTATGTAAAAATGCAGACCCAGTTGTCTTTCCCTTGGTCCCTGGTCTAGTGAGGGCTGTGGCTTGGAAGTGCCCTCTTGGCTAGAAATGAAGAGAAATGCGGTTCCTGGACAGCCCATTGCAGGGGAAAACAGGTGGGTGCATTTATAGCACCTCTCCCTGACTCCTACTCAACCGTGACACGGCTGGGTTGGAGCACTGTAGATTAGAGTCAGGGCCTTGTTTCAAGTCATCCCAGACCCTAGAGAGCAGCAAGGATGAGTGGCTGTGGGTGGTGGAGCATTACTGCCTGCGTGCACGGTGCTGCACAGAGCGAGCAGGTCCAAAGGTCAAGAGTGTGATCTCTTGAATCAGACTTCTTAAAAGCACTGCAGTCCAGGGCAAGCCACTTAACCTTGCTTTGTTATCCTCATCTGGAAAAGGGAAGCAGCCTTCATGCCCACCTGTACCAAAAGTCTGTTCTGAGGGCTTAGTAAGGTCCCTGTGTATCATGGTGTCCCCCCACCCCTGCCACAGTGAGTTGTTCCCGCCTCCCTGCCATCCATGCAGCTCATGCCACCAGGCACCCCTCCATCCCTCCACACCCTCTGCAGAACACTTGTTCGGACCTTCAGAGCTGGGCAGTAAATAGCCCCATGAACCTCCCTGTCATCCTGATTATGCTGTTGGGGACTCTGGGATAGAGAGAAGCTCCTGACTCTGGTCAAGTTCCAGGCAGGCGGGTCGTCCCGGTCAGCTCTGAGGTCTGGGTAGTCACCCTGCCTGATGCTCTCTGGTCTCTGCAGGGCTGCAGTAGGAGAAGGGGAACCCTAGGCCGGGCCAGGGCAGATTTGGGGTGGTGCAGATATCAGGGTCAGGAGCCTGGTTGGCCTGAAGCTGGGCTGGGCAGTGGGGCTTTTCCCTGCTGATACTGGCTCCTTGCTGTTTGCTGTGGGCAGAGAGGCAACCCAGGTTCCAGACTAACAGGAACATACATGGTGGAAAGTGCTCTGGGCCCTGAGCACCAGATCTGTTCCCACATTAGGATTCAGTCACTGATTAGCTGTGAGACCTAGAGCATGTTAACAAGCCACTCAGTATGCTCCCTCCAAGAGGGGACAAGAGCAGGCTCTGCCACCCAGCACTCTCAGGATTCAAGGAAATGAGGAAGCACTTCCAACAGGCAGGAGTTGAGGAGGGCACGAAGGCAGCTCAGTGTGGGCTCAGGGATTCAAATCCCAATTCAGCCAGTTACTAGCAGTGAAGCACTGAGCCTCCCCAGTAAATGAAGCCAGTAGCTCACAACTCACCAGGCTGTTAGGAACTGGAGAGAGCTGAGACAGTGTGGGTAGAGGCGAGGGCTCAGCGTGGGAGAACTGTCCTTCTTAGCTTGAAGTTAAATACTGTAGTCGAGAGAAAGTTGGTTTATACTTTTATCTGAAGAAGGACACGGGGAGGGAGGGAGCCCAGCCCAGGACCAGTCACCCTGAGCTGGTGTGTCTCAGGGATCCAGCTTGTAACCTCTCTGACCCCACCCCCATTTCCACACTCCTGGCCCAGCCTGCACTGAGGACACATCCCTCTCTGTAGGCTGGGCTGGCTTGTCCTTAAACTCAGATATCATGGTCCTACTGCCTTCCCTTCCTCAGCACCCAGCGGCAACAGTTGTAACTTTTGCTTGGGATTGATTCTCTGGTGAGCCTGGGTTTCCTTGAGTGGAAGCTGGAAGGAAGGTCTTGTCATCTTAGACTGCTGCTCCTCTGAGGTTCTGGGCTCAGGGGATGGGAGATGCAGCCTCCTCTCCCCTCCCCCACCCACCCAGGGTGGGTGAGGAGGGGGTGGGGATGGCTTCTTCTCATTCTTTTGTTGCAACAGGGTGAGTGCGGGGAGGTAGGTTACTTGTGATTTTCTGAGGGATGGAGGATTTCCCAAGCCGCCTGTGTATATAATGGGGCCTGCCTTTTGTTGCAGATGGAAGAGAAGAGGCGAAAATACTCCATCAGCAGCGACAACTCTGACACCACTGACAGTAAGGCCTTCCATTTGGGGCTCCTCCAGGGAAAGCATGTGAATAATTACCAGGCCCACAAGTCCAAATGGGGAGAGGCTGCCTTTGGTCTCAATGTTGATGAAGGCATAAATCAGATCGGGTTCCTCTCCTCCTAAGAAAGTCTGCACACGAGCCTGGCCCCAGGGCCTTGCTGTCCTCTTCACTCTGCCCCCCTGTAGGTCTCAGCACCACATGTTTTGATCTGGTTGGAACAGATCTGCTCTCCTATGGGCCTTTGCATATGTAACTCCTGGCTGTTAGGAATACCTTCCCCTCCCTGTGGCTGTCCTTTTGAGTTAGGGCTCTATAGGAGGTCTCTACATAATCCATAGAAAATCTGTCACTATTACCTGATAGGTATTATTACCTAACAAGTGGTAAGTTCCTTGATAATAGGGTCATGTCTTGCTCACTGCCTTATCCTTATCCACAGCTAGATCAGGCACATAATAGGTGTTCAGTAAATGTTTGCTGAGAAAGTTAATGAAGGAGTCTGACCTCCATGGGATCTCAGTAATAGAATCTCAGAGGTGGACTAGTGTATGGGCTGGGGGTGTCATTTGGATATCTGGGGGGTGGGGAGACATTGTCTAGGAGAAGATAGGGCTGAGAGAGCCTCTTCTGAAATTTGGGGGAGGTGTGTGTAAGGTGAGAGCTTCTCTCTAGTAGTGGAAGGCAGCTCTTCCTAGCTGGGCCTGCATGAGCTGCTTGGAGTAAGGAGTTCCGTGCTGCCCTGTGTAGGGAGACACGCTGCCAGGAGGCTCCCACCTAGTGGTGTATACTGGGGGAAGCCCAGGCTGGGAAAGAGGCTGCATTGCCATGGAGGCCTGGCCTGGAGCCCTGCAACCCTAGACCTCAGTTTGTTCACATATGTGGTGAGCATCTGGGATTAAGGAGATTTCCGAGGCCCTTAGAGCTCTCGGAGTTCCACACCTTCCCCCCAAGAGCCTGAGATGGATGCACTAGATTGGTGGGTCTGATCCCAGTGTTGTCCCTCTCTCCAGGTCTCTTCCCCTGTCCTTTGGGTGTCTGTTGGTTCAGCTTGGCTCTGGTATCTACCTTGGCCAGCCCTTCCTCCCCGTGGCAGGAGATCACAGCGTTTGGCCCTCTGTGGCTGCAACCACACTGCCTGAGACCTGGCTCAGTAGAGCCAAGACGAACCGCATCCTCTACTTCTTCTAACTTTGTTGCATGCAAAGGAACCCTTGAGAACGGAGCATCTGCAAAGGGTGGGCTTCTGGGCAGCTGAGTCCTGTGGCTGCATTGGAGTTGAGCCGGGCTGATGCATATTCCTTTCCCAGCAGCCCCTGCCACTGTGCCCACCCATGGATGCCGCTCCTTTGACCCATAGGGATGGAAGCCACAACCCTGTAGTCCAGCAAGAGCTTAAACCCTCATAATAATAGCTAATGTCTATTGAGAAGACTACAAGAATGATATCTTTTAATTCTCACAACTCTTTGAAGACAGTCAATTGCCCCATTGTATAGAAGAGCAAACTGAGGCTCAGAGAAATTTAGTTATTTGCCCAGTGTTACAAGCTAGTGAGTGGCTGGTCTGTGGGTCTACTTTAAATTTTTTTTTTTTATCCTCACCCAAGGACATTTTTTTTTTTTTTTAATCCTCACGATATTTTTTCCATTTTTTGTTCAGATAGAGTGGGAGGGAGAGAGAGAAACATCGATGTGAAAGGGACACATCAAGTGGCTGTCTCCCGCATGACCCAACCAGGGCCGGGAACAAACTGCAGCCGAGGTACGTGCCCTTAGCGGGAACCGAACCTGGGGCTCTCTGGTCCGTGGGTTGATGCTCTAACCACTGAGCAAAACTGGCCAGGGCCCAAAGACATTATTTTTGCATTAATCTTCAGACAGAGTGGGAGGGAGAGAGGGAGGGAAGAGAGAGAAAGACACATCAATGTGAAAGAGACACACCGACTGGCTGCCTCCTGCACAACCCCAGCAGGGGCCAGGGACAAACTGCAACTGAGGTACATGCCCTTAGGGGGAACCGAACCCGGAACTCTTTGGTCCTCAGTGCGACGCTCTAACCACTGAGCAAAACCGGCCAGGCTGTGGGTCTACTTTAGAGCAGCGCTCTTCCCATTGCTCTGCCTTGCCTCTCTCTGCCCTCTGAACATCACACCCAGGAGGAAGTGGAGGACCAGAGAGAGCAAGGAACTTGTTGTGGGTCACGCAGTAAGCTGATACTGAGTCCTGATCACTGCCTTTTATTTCCCAAGCTCCTTCTGGTTGGTGAGTGGAAGGGGTGTCATGTCCTCACTTATCAATGGAGAGGCCCAGAGCAGGGACAATCTACCAGGTACTTACAGAGGTTTTCACCTTCTGAACATTCAAGCCAGAGCATTCCTTATAGGCCTCATATCCTTGGGCATGGGTTGGTGGTGTTCCTGGCCTTCCAGGGGCGTCTAATGGGCTGTATTCTCTCTGTAGGTCACACTACATCTGCTTCGAGATGCTCCAAACTGCCCTGCAGCACCAAGTCGGGCTGGCCCCGGCAGAACGAGAAGAAGCCCTCAGAGGTGGGTAGTGACCAGTGTCCTAGAGAAAGGTGAAGCAAAGATGGAGAGGCCGCGGGAACAGAAACCTGGGGGCAGTGAGCTCTGCAGATGTGTTGGGGCAGAGCACTCCTGGCAGAGGGCACTGGCAGGCCACGCTAGGCCGTGTGGCTGAGTGGAATGAAGGGGGCAGGGGATGCCAGCTCTTAGCCTTGTCATTTGTTGTAAAGATGTTTCTATTGATCTGAGTATCTGAGTAAGAGAAGAAGCCTTTCCAGGGTCATAAACAAGGTAATGCCATAGGCTGATATTTACTGAACGGTCCCACTGGCTGCTGTGAGGAGAAGGGAATGCTGGGACATCGGTGGAACCGGGAAGGCGTCTTTTGCAGTTGACCAGGAGATAAACAGTGATGGCTTAGAGCCTGGCAGTGGCAGTGGAGTAAGAAGCAGCAGTATTCAGGACACTCTGGAGGTTGAGCAAGGGTGGCAGGTCTTCTGATGTAGGGGTGAAGGATGAGTCCTCACAGTCATCCAGTGAAGTCATCTGCTCCTTACTATGCCCAGTTCACATGTAGGCGCCTGCATTTTAAGCCTTCTTTTGACCTGGGATGCTCTTGTGGCAGGCAGAGGTGTTTGGCTTCTGGAGCTGTGGAGAAGAGCATTGGGGGTGGGAGGGCGAATTACATCCTAGGACCTCATCGCGCCCTCCTGGGTCTTCAGCAGAGAAGAGGCCCTGGGCACAGATGAGGCTGCAAGTCTCTGAGAAGGTGGGGGGTTGAATACGGCCCTTAAGAGAGCCGATGCTCTGTAGCCTACAGAGTTGCTGGGTGCTGGGCTGGACACTTGAATGTTTTATTCCTTAAAAGTAGCCCAGAGTTCTCAGTCCTATTATAGTAAGGAAACTGAGGATCCCACAATTATATAGCCAAGACCTGAAGTTTTGGGGCCTAACAGTGTCCAGGGTGGGAAGGCCCAGAATTCTAGGGCTGAGCCCATGGCTCTGGGTGGGGGAAGCTATCAGTGTCGGAGCCTGGAGCCCTCCTCCCACCCTCACCATGTGAGCAAGAGCAATCTTGGCACAGCTGTCATTAGCCAGCCCCCGGGGGAGGGGGTGTTCCACTGAACCTTGCATTTGAAAAAGGACTCCCACCTCCTCTGGGAGCTGGCTGACTCTAAGACTCTCCCTTTGTGGGGAGTGGTGAGTCTTTGAGACCTGATGCCACCCACCCCCATCCCCAACCAATTGTCTTCCCTTGGCCTCCTGGAGGAAGGGTAGAGACAGAAGGAGGTATCTTCAGGAGTGCAGTTAGGACTGAAAGGAAAGCCCGGTGGGAAGATTCGTGGTGAGGCTCTTGGTGCCCTCCTGGACTGGCCCCACTCAGTGGCGGATGAGATATGCCCAGGTGCACTGGGAAACAGGAAGCAGAGTGCTAGGGCCCTGGAGCCCTTGGGACCACTGCCCAACTCCATGCCCCTCTTTCTCTTCCCACCCCCCAGTCTTGAGACCTGCAGGGGCTCCCCAAATGTATGGTTGAATTAGTAAAACAATAGCCACCTTTATGTGCCTCCCTGGTCCTGGGAGGCAGCAGCTGTCCAGCCCATTTTGGAGAAGAGAAACCTGCCCCTTGTTTTCTGTGGCTGTTCAGGCTGGAGAAAGATGGAGAAGTTCAGGGGAGCTTCTGGGGCTGGCTGCTCCCTCCTCCCCCCAAGCACCAGTAGGAGGAGGGGCCAGCTCTCTGGGCAGAGATCCCAGGGGCTGGGCTGCCATTGACACCCAGGATAGGCTGACAGTTGAGAGGAAGCAGGTGTCAACAAAGACCAAGGAGAGAGAATGATTTGCATGGGGCTGAAAATTCCCCTGCCTCTTGGGTTTTCCAGCTCAGAGCCTTTGAACCTTTCCCCACCTAAAAATAGAGTCAAGCCATTGTAAGGGTGTGTGTGGGCCCTGCTGGGGACTGGCCACATGTGGCCCTGGGTTCGAGCACAGGAGCCTCCCAGGGGGCTGTGCAGTGAGACGGGAGACACCTGCCCTCAAGTCCCGGGCTCCAGGAGAGCTGAGGAAGTCTTCCCTGCCTTGAACTGTGGCCAAGGACAAGCTTCTCCTCCCACAGCAGGCTGGAGAGCAGCCTGCGAGGTTTCCCTTGTCCCCTAAGTGAGGAGGCTGAGCCATAGCCACCATAAATTCCAAGCTCTCTCAGGGCAGAAAGAAAACCATCAACGAGAGCTTCCAAATTATTTGGCTCATGAGAAGGCGGAGACGACAGCGAGGCTTTGGCGGCGCAGAGCGTTTGCACTAAATCTTGCTGGGCTGTTCCTTCCTCGCTGTGAATGGTGTGGAGAGGACAGCCTTTCTAGTCTGCTGGACCTGGGGGTCCAGGGCTTTGGACCCCCTGATGAGAGGGGATATGGGGGCCCCATTTGCCTTTTCCTACAGAGGAAGGAGCCTATGGGGTAGTGGTTAGGCTGGTCACAGGGTTTGTTCCCAGTCTGGCCCACGTACCCATCCAGAATATTTGCAAATTGATGTGTGTGGTGCAGTAGCCTGGTGGCTACACAATTCACTTCCTCTCCTTGTCTGAATGTGGACAGTGATGGGGTGGGGTGTTTGAGGACCAGGAATTCTGAGCATAGCAGCACTACCAGCCTATAGAGAAGCCAACAGCTGTGGAAAGGACTGGGGTTGGGTTTAGATGAGAACATAGGAGCTGCCCCTGTGATGATGTGCCAAGGCCCGCCCTTCCCAGTGTACCCTGAGGGTGCAAATCAAGGGATGCCCTTCACACCAGAGTGAGGTGCCCCAGGGCGGAAAAAGTTCTCGGACCAGGAGTCAGGACCCTGGACAGAGCCCAGGCCTTAAGGCCCAGATTCTCATCCACCCTTAGCCAGTGGGTGGCCTGCCTCAGCCAGAGTGAAGGGGAGGGCAGGTCTCAGTCCTGGGGTGGCACAAGAATCCCCTTTGGCAGTAGAGGGAAAAGGTGGGCCAGACCCCAGGGTACACAGGCTGCTGCCTTCCTCTGCTCTGCCTGCCTGCAGTATCCCAACCAAGCTGAGATCTGTCCCTTGGGGCTTAAGTCAGCTAGGCCAGTCCTGAAGGAGAAGAAGGGATTAGCCTGGCCTGGGGAGGTGGTATTAGTTTATAAATCATGCTCAAGCCTCGGGTTTCTGGCTTGACCTGTCTTATCAAACGGCATTATCATTATTGGTGCTTAAGGCTTTGTGGGTCATATCTCTGAATCTGATGGAGATCAGAGACCACCCCATCCTATCTTACCCCCAGGAATTGTGACTTTAAGTGGTCTGGAGTGGGGCACCAGGTATCTGTACTTTTTAAAAGCCTTCCCCCATGGAAGTCTGGGTTAAAAACTACTGCCATAGACCTTTCTCTTTAAATTTCGAAGACAGGAGTTCCTGGCTTGGGCCTTCCTGGAAGATCCTACAGTTGCATGGGGGAGGGGATGCTTTCTAGCCTGATTCAGTGACCTAAGAAAAGGCAAAGAGTGTGGGTGGGGCAGTCTCCCAGCTCACCCCACCCCCACATCGGCTCGGGGACTGACAGGTTTCTGCCAACCCCTCTGCCTGGCAGGGCAGTTCAGCAAGAGACCCCGGGGCCGCTGTTTGAGGCCATATGTTCCTCAGGCTGGGGCAGAGAGGCAGGTGGGAGGGCAGGCCACGTGGTGGGGTTTCCCCCAGGCAGACTTTCTTGAAGTAGAAAGCTGTGTTTTTTAGGAAGTCGGAGTCCCCAGAACTCAGCCATTGGGCAGGGACATGGATCTTCAGGACCCAAGAGATATTGATACTGATTAAACTCAGCGAGCACTCAAGAGCACCTAATAGACCTTGCCCAATGCTAGGGGGACAGGAACTGCAGGCTCTGTCCCAGGGGAGCTTGTCCTCTGGCTGTGAGCAGGGTACAGGTGTCAGACAGGAAAGTGTCCGTTGTGAGAGGCGCAGCCAGCTCTGCCGCTGAGCCACTCTGTGACCTTGGGCAAGTGCCTGCCTGCTTCTCTGAGCCTCAGAGTTGTCATCAGTAGAGCCCTACCCTGCCCCCTGCCATGGAGTTTCTGTTGTGAAGATGTCCTTTTCTGAGGCCTGTGGAGCCTGGGAGTGGAGTGATCCAGACTGAGTGGAGGTGATGCTGGCCTCCCTGGGACAGAAGCCTAGATGGTCCCGTCACTGGGTGTGTGGGCGTTGGGATCCAACTGTCAGCTCCTTTGTAGGTCCTGGTGACAAACTAGTACATCTCTACATGAGGGAATGAGGCCTATTTGCAGGTTCCACAGGGGCCTTTCACCAGTGCTCATTTTCTTGCCCCTGAGGACAGGTAGTAGGAGAAAGAGATGATCCTTATGGACAGCTTCTGCCCCCATTAGAGTGTCCCCAAGACCCAGTGTTGGTGAAAATTCAGCAAGTGAAGAGTAAGGAGGCAGCTTTTTGGCTTGACTCATTGCTTTTATTTATTTATTTTTAATCCTCACCTGAGGATATTTTTTCTATATATCTTCAGATAGAGTGGGAGGGAGAGAGACAGAAAGGGAGAGAGAGAAAAACATCTATGTGAGAGGGACACCTCCACTGGTTGCCTCCCGCAGGACCCCGACCAGGGCCAGGGACTGAACCGCAACCAAGGTATATGCCCTCAGCCAGAATCAAACCCAGGACTCATTGGTCCATGGGCTGATGCTCTACTGCTGAGCCAAACCAACCGGGGCTTGACTCATTGCTTTTAAAAATGAGAATCTTTCCCAGCCAGTGTGGCTGAGTGGTTGAGCATCAACCCATGCACCAAGAGGTCACCGGTTTGATTCCTGGTCAGGGCACATGCCCAGGTTGTGGGCCCGATCCCCAGTGGGGCATGCAGGAGGTGGCCAATTGATGTTTCTCTCTCTCTCTCCCTCCCTCCCTCCCTCCCCCTTCCTCTCTCTCTCAAATCAATAAAGAAAAAACTTGTTTTTTAAATAAAAAATAATGAGAACCTTCCTGCCCTGGCCAGTTTGCTCAGTGGTTAGAGCATCGGTCTAAGGA